AGCTTGAAACCACCAGCAACGTCCCCATGGTCAAAGTTGTACCCAAAATGATCACGCCTGTCCTTTTATCCCCACCCAAGGATCCAATCCCCATTGCACCAAGACCGGCCCAGAAAAGAAAGCTAGAAGACGAGAGCGAAGAAGAAAAGACTGACGATGAGAGGGACAATGACATTGAGATGGGTTCTGGGCCAGGAACCACTAACCGCATGGTGCCCAAGCTGCCCACCGCCCTCATCAACAACAGGCCCCCCGCCATGACAGTGGTGCCACAAAAACAGAACGGGCTCAGCTACTGGACCCCCAAGGTTCCCATTAAGATCAACACTTTATCACGAGAACAGCTGGCTCTTCCGAAACACTCGTCTCCTCGTACCATTCCCCCTCCTCCCACCCCCAGCATTGCACCAGTTAGCCCCAATACCCCCATCTCTGCCAAAGTGGCCAGCCCCTCCACCCCGGTCGTAGTTATATCAAGCCCAACAGAAAGCAAATTTCACTCCAGCCGAAGGCCACGCACACACCTGTCCTGCCTACAGCTGTCCATACTGCAGTCCTGTTACGAGACCTGCGCCCACCCTAATGCGATGGAGTGTGAGGCCATCGGCACCGAGCTCAACCTGCCGCTCAAGGTGGTGCAGATCTGGTTTCAAAACACAAGAGCCAAGGAGAAGCGCTGGAGGCTGCAGCAAGAGAAAATGGTAAGTGGGCAAGGAGACGTAGTATCTGTACAGTATTTTTCAAGTTCTTTGGTACAATATCATTGTTTATAGGGTAATGTAGGTCACTGCTATCCCATTGCTGCTGTGCACCTTTTTTATTCTAAAGCTGGGCAATATCTATTATCAGATATTGACTTTCAGTAAGTCTTAGAAAAACTTGAATGACCCCAAATGAGCAATACGTGGTACAGCAGAGTAAACAACGATTCAACATAACCTTGCTGGAGGTTGCAACAGTGCAGGGGAAGGGCATATTGTGGTGCTTTCACTGTTATTGTTTTACAAACTTAGAATAAATGAGAGATTTCAAGTAGATTTTTTATTAAAAATAATTAAAGTGTTTGCCCTACACATTTAAAGCTTTGTGATGTGTAGCAGATGTGACATACATTTCCCATATTATGATATACATCTCTGTAGGTTAAATATTCATATTGAGAATTTAATTTCAAGGACCTGGCACTGCTCGTTTCAAGTGTTTTTTGTGGTTTTTTTCATCTGAAAGCAAAATGTTTATAAGCCTGAAGTACTCTACTGCTGTCACTCAGTGTTGGTAATCTAGTTTAGTAATACTCTTACCAAAACTGACTTTTAAAAAAAAAAAATGTATACAAATTTTGCTTAGTTTGAAGTTGTCAAGCAATTGGAAACACACATGTCACGTTATGAAAACAAGTCATTTCTAAAAGGTAACATTTCAGAATTCTGTGTGTAGAAATGATAGAGGGCTTCAATGTCAGCAGGTTGCTTCAAGCCCCAATTTGAATTTAAAAATATGTGACATTAAACATATTCTTGTTTCCTTTTCCATTCCCAGTCTCCTCTATCAGGTGGAAAAGTAGACATGAGCTCGGGAAGCTACCTGCAGTACAACGCTCTCAAAGCCAATCGTCCCATTCTTCCGAAACCAGTTCAGCTGACCGTTACTGAATCTCCAGCTTCCCCAGTGGCGGGTCAGCCAGGGCCGAAGGAGACCCTCACAGGCCGATGTGACGCCTGTAGCATCTCCTTTGAATCCCGGGCAGCGGCGAGGGCACACGTCTTCTCCCCACGTCATCTTGCAACCCTGAGAACCACTAACTTTGGCCAGCCGACGACGCTGGTCAACAAGAACGGCACCGGCTCGCAGGTCCCTCAGTCCACTCCGCTAACCAGCTCGGGAGGGGAGATGGTTATCGATTCGCCCCCACCCACGGCCACCAGCAACAGTTAAAGACTCAGATCAGGATTGGTCTGCACACTGACTATTCTTGGATCCATTTGGGCTCCTCAGATTTTAATCAAATTTGAGCACTAATCCTCAAGAGCTAATATTCTTTAGTTTTTGAAAAACTAGCTCCCCCAGCACCCTCTATCCCTTGCTCAACCTTCACCGACTCGAACTCCGTTAATCTAAAGACTTCACCTGGAATCAAATACAACAGCAAACTCTTTCCATGCTGCTTCACACTCACTCAGATGCTGTCTTACAAGTGATGAACTCATCTCAATCCTCACTCACTTTATCCAAACATGTTTGGTCCTACTCCTGTGGTTATATATTACCCTAATTCAATTACCTTCCTATGATTTGTAAAGGCACTCAACTTTGCCATGCTTGAACTTTGCTAACCTAAAGACGGATGCAAAAGTGTTTCCTGTTTGCAAGTGGCCATTTGACGATAGGCCCGGAAACTTTTTGGGATAATAACGTGAAAAACTTGCATAAATAACTCCCAGTTTTCTCCTGTGGAATTGTTTTTCTCATGCCTACGTTCACATCTTGGGCAAAGAATGCTTGGATATAATATGACTGGACTGAACCATTGGGAGAGCAAGAAGTGGTATTGACTGTCACCTTTTTTTTTATTTGCTACAGAAGTGTGATCTGAAGAGTGTTGTGTCCATTCATTGGGATAAAAAAAATAGGTACTTTAGAGAGAATAGGGCTTTTGAATTGTCCCCATTTACATGTTAGCAGTTTTCATGACAATCCAAATAGACAGGGCAAAAGGAGAGGCTGAGGAAAGTCTCGGCATATCGCACTTTTGACACATTTTACCTAGTTTCAAATGTTTTTAAGCATTCTAATGCAAGTGTCTTTTTATGGAAAGATACATAAATGCATGTTGGATGCCTTAATATAAATCACGTGAGATAAATGGATTTTTGCTAGTCTAATAAAACCTTCTTTAGGTGTGACTATAATATTGTACAAGAAGCAGACCTGGTACATGAAGAGCTCTGTTCCAAAAGGCTTTTATATTATTGGGAGGGGGGGGAGAAAACATCTCATCAATGCCATTCTGTACCTAGAACATAGAAAATTCTGCCTCTAAAGTTTTCAGCACTCTTGGCCAAGGACTATAATTACATAACTACCAACTATCTTGTTTTTGCAACACATTTCTTTGATCCTGTGGATTTCCCTTTCCCTCCCAATCGTATATAGCTCATTTTGAAATGCAGCTCTTCAAACTTGTTGGGTAAAAGAAATGTTTTCACCAACTGTGGGTGCGTTTTAGAAATTTGACAGCCTTAAGAAGAAACAACCCCAGGTATAAGAATTTAAGCCCAGGTGATCTTCGTATAATAGTAGTGAATTGATTTCCTCCTCACCTGGCCCGGAGGGTCAGACCAATTTAATTAATTTACGGTTTTCTTTGCCATGAATACTGTGCATAAGACATGAAATTTAAGTACTCATTTTATTTACTTCAATATTTATACAAATGCCAATAGAAGCAATTAAAAACTGATGTAACAGATTGTTTTATTTAGGTCAAAAGCCAAGCCTCTAGAAATATGATATAACAGGGCTTGGAATGGGCTGTTTCCCATACTTTGTTCCCCACGTGTTTTGTTCTGTTTTGATACAAAGAGTTATTAATTCTGGTCATGTAATTCTGTGACATGAGTTCTTATATTTGGAAACCATAACAAGGGAGAAAGTTGGGTATTACTAGTATCCTTAAGGGACTAACGGATACTCAAATCTTGAAAGCAAATTGGGAAACATTAAACATGTTGACTGAGAGCTATGGTGCTGTGTTGAAGGACACATAACATACTAAAGATGTTTTCCTTCAATTTAAGTTGTATATTAATGTTACTATTGATAGTTTTAACAAAATGCAAAATTAAAACATGAACTTTTGTAAAGAAATATATTAAAAAATGAACTGATATTCCAAAGTAATCCTTCCTTCGCTTTCTGTCATTCAAAAACCAAAAAGCAATCTTGAGGTCGACAGAGAGCAGGAGAGGTGTTTGTAAATGCAAACTGTAAAGGACATCCCACAGCTTGACACTTGCACTAGTCCACAATTTTTGCACAAGCTACAGACATTTCAGATGAACACAGCCATTTACACGACATTAAAGTCACTTGGTGTGGTTTTTGAAACCAGGATGGTAACAATGTCCTTTCATGAGTAATAATTTGTACTCCTGTTGGAAACTGTATCTTGTGTGTCAAGCAACCGGACTGGAGTGCTTTAGCTTCAAGACTGGGATTTCACAAACGCACACACACAGACACGGTGTTGCACTGTCCAAACTAGATAGGTTTTTATGGAGATCTGCTTTTTACTCTCTTATGTTTCATTGTCACTTTGATTATCACTATTGTTATAACTGTACTACTACTTATACGATTTTTCATTACTACCCATCACTGTTTTTTGATTATTATTGATCCATAATGGTTTTAATGCCACCTTTTTGCTCAAAAACAATATGGTATTCCTCTAATATTGAACAATAATAGTGGCAGTGGTGTTAGATTTTTGATTAAGCTTATTTTTTCTCCTCCTCACTTGTACCTGCCTTTTTTGTGTTTGGTCTCCATTATGCTTTCTTTGATATACAGAAAAAGAAATAAAATCAGTTGAACAACAAGTGTATCTGTCTGACTGCAGTGCGATTGGGGCTTTTATCTGTACTTTTTTGATGGTTTAAATTAATAATATATAAAAAAGTACATTTACAAGAGGGGCATATTTCAAATAAAGGTCACTCAGGTCACACTGGAGGAGACAATTTATATGACTACAGTTTACACACAGTGTGCCTGGAATTAATTTCCCTTGCCAGTTCACGAACCACCAAAACCAATATGAATGACAGAAACCTAATCCAATTAAAAGCACACATGCTATTTGGGAACCGGAAAATCCTGCTTGACTATCCAATAGGAACGCGGCAGAAATAAAAAAAAGGAACGTCCAGAATAATGCACCGACCAATAGGATTGAGAGTTTTACGCCCGCAGTGATACATGACTCCGCCCCCGGCTTCCATTTCTGAACTGAAGGGACGCCGCCGCTCCGCGTAGACCACTCGCCTTTTTTATACACTCATTTAAGTAAATAAACTAGGTTCTCTGACGTTAATTAGGACTTATGCTTAAAGGTATCGAGTGAAACGGCAGTTATTTTTCATCGTGGGGTGCTGTTTGAGTGGTGGCTGGAACTGTAGCTAGCATTTTAATCCCCATTTTAACTTTACTAAGCGGCGTTTTCCGCCGTTTTTTTTCTTTCCGCCGCCCCGCTCACTACCCCCTTGCGCGTGAGTAGGGGCCTGCAACGTTGGTTTGGCCACGAGGAGCGTCGGTACAGTTGGAACGATGGCGGAGTTCGGTAACGGACTGGCGGAGGAATCTCTACTAGATTCAGACCCCGGACATCCCGAGCTGGAAGACCCGGGAGTCGGTGATGAAGAACCGGGGTTAGAAGAGGGGGAGGCCTCGATTGAAGACCCGGTAAGTGAAGGGCATTGTTTCAACTGTGAGAGCGCACATGGTTACCGGGTTACGGTATGGCGAAAGCGTAGTAAGTTAGGTAGTGAAAGCTGCGATACATGTGTCAATTTAGTACACGAATATTGGGTCACATGCATTGTGCATTACTGCTATCGCCATGTCTATATTGACCACCATTGTGGTTCACGCAGTGCAGTATAAATGGGTGGTGACATGCGTTGTGTCGGCAGCCATCTTGGCGCAACAGCGGCGCTAGTTTCTCTGCGCCAGGGAGCAGCTCGAGCTGTTGAGGGGGGGGAATCCTCGTCTCAAAAAATGTGAAACGGAGATGCAGGAGACATTCAGGGGCGAGGGTAGGAGAGGCCGTCGCCATTAGCCGCCGCTGAGCGATTCTACCTGCTTGAGAAGGCTACCTGCTTACGGTAATGATTTATTTTATATGTGTATTTCCCCAGTTGTGCAGGCTGCTGCTGCTGCATTACAAAAAACCGGTGTGTGCACACACAATTGGCATAGCATCAGCAGGCTAACATTAGCTTATCACAAGCACCAATATTAAGTGCTGCAGCTAAAATGACCAAGGGACATGTCAACCGTACTCACGATATAACATGTGGCTGTTCACCTTCAACTACTTTAAACCTGCTAGCTAGATTATTTTTGCCATAACAGGAGCCTGACATGCTATCAGGCTAGCTAATTTTAACAAAGCTGGGGTGGAGACAGACATGCACCTGCCTGGTCATCGCTGTCATTCATTGTCAGATGGTTGGTATTGGCATCAGTTGGACACAAGATCCATTATGAAAAAACAAGTCAGGCTGTCTATTCTTTTTTTCATCACCTGCAGACTCGTGCACAATCCATGATTATGTATTTGCAGCATGCCCAGGTGGGTTTTGATGTTGCATTGCTGTCTGTTGGGCAGTGAGAGCGCGGCACGCAACGCAGGGGTTGCGGTATTTGAGGGGCTGGGTTTGCATCCTTCAATGTTTTGCAAGCCTGAGAGAAGAGAGGGGACTGGATGAGCTTCCACTGAATATGCGACAACAAAAATAAGACCCAAGGTGTCGTGTTGTGGTTTTTTTTATACAATCTTGCCATGTAGGTGGATTACTTCCCCTCTTCCATGATCTCCACATGCATGTGGCTAAAGGGTGGATAGCTAAGAAATGATGGGGTACATCACATGCCGTGTGAATGTGGTGTACTCTGCAGCCCCCCCACTCTCCTTTAGTGAAAATACCCTGCTTTTTATATGGGTGTCTGTGTCACTGCACCCTGCTGTACAAAGGGCCTTTACATTACACATCCTGTCAGCTCAGGCCTAGATGGAGCTGGACTGAATCCCACAGTGCTGCAGTGCACCACTGTTGGACAGGGGGGTCCACTCCCGCGTGAGGACATATCTCAGTTTACTATAGGAATATTTCTTTTTGCAGTGATTGTTTTGTGGGTTCCACAATGTCTTTATTCCTCAGACCTCATCAGTGTCTCTGGCCCAAATATATTTCCAGCTGAGTCTCCTAAAAGACTAATGAATTTCAGTTGTATTAGAGCTGCAGCACATACATTTAGTTATCAATTGACATGTTCACTGTCAACATAAATTAAATGCAAATGTCTATCACATGCATGAACCCATAGACATGTCAGCCAGAAATATTGTCTTTATAACTGAGAGAAAAAGGGCCCATATTCACTTTTATGTATAGTGCATATGTACACATATTTCCATTGCCTTAAATTATGTACTGGAATTGGTATGATTTACTTGTGTTCAAATGTTATAGTTGGGCAGAATCAGCACACATACTTGGTTCTCCTTAGATTGAGGTCATGTTAGGACTACAGCATCACTTTCACATGTGCAGCATCTCCTTCTCCTCTGCCATCTTCCTGCAGGGCTGCAGCTAACGGTTTCACTGGTTTCATTATGATTTAATCAAACTATTATTACCTGGATTTACTAATAGTTGGAGATTTTAGTTGTCTAACGCCGCACCTCCACTTCCCTGTAGCATACCTTTATCATCCACTATATCAAGTGATAATGACACTTGTAATAACTCACAATGAACTGATGGATTTGTTTGTGTTGCAGGAGCTGGAGGCAATCAAAGCCCGGGTGAGAGAGATGGAGGAAGAGGCAGAGAAGCTGAAGGAGCTCCAGAACGAGGTGGAGAAACAGATGAATCTCAGCCCCCCACCAGGTGCGTTTGTGTGTGTTTTTGTAAGTTGGGAAGCCTCTTCCCTCTCCAAATCTGTCCACATGTTCAATTTCTCCCCTACTGTCAAATAAATTGACGTCAAAATAATGAAAGAACATCACAATACTCGCATAAGAAATTAAACTATTGAATCCTCTTCAGCCTGTAACCCCAATTTACAGTTTTAACATTTTAACGTGTGTTAAGATATTCACTTATTTATTATTGGAGTGTACAAAGCTGTGATTAATCCCTCCGCATGTACCTTTGTTAGGTTTGACATCTAAATCTATATTTGATGCATGGCTTTGTTAAATGAAGCCTGTTTGTTTGTCTCTTAGCGATACACTTGATTTAATAATACAGTAGAGTAGTGTAATAGCATTGCCCAAGTCTGCTATTTGAAGGCTGTTTCCATACAAATGTTGTGCATCAATTATTTAAGGCCCAACTTGCAGATCAATGTGCATCTTTAAAGGTTTGATAGTGCTGCAGAAATGCAAACATCAGAGAGAATGGTAGTGAATAGGGGGAAAAATTCAATACTTCACAAATAGTCTTGAAACAAAATTTAAAAAATCACTTGGAACCCTACACCAATTTCAGATAATGGACTTAAGTTTGATGGACCTAACATTGTAAATGCACTTAAAATATAAAGTTTTTCTTTCCCCTGTGCAGTCGGCCCTGTCATCATGTCCATCGAGGAAAAGATGGAAGCAGATGGCAGATCTATTTACGTCGGAAACGTAAGTAATGGTCCCGGTTAGATGCCATTTTGGCCACATTTTCTGTTGCAACTTATGAAATCACGGAAAATCAATTCTAATGGTTTTGACACATAATTATTACTTAAAGGTGGGGTAGGTAATTTCGGAGAAACCAGCTCGAGTGCGCTAGAATTTGAAAATACACAACCGGAGAAAATCTGCCACTTCCTTACGGGCCCGTCCACACAGCGGCGTGCGTTGAAAGCTTCACTTTGAATGGGGTGACGTCACTTTTTGCCGAACTGCATTCTGGGAAGCGGAGCTTTGCTGGTGTGACTCGCTGCAAAAGTTAANCAGCCAATCGAATCATATGCCAGTACAAGCTCTAGCCAATCAAACCGCTGCTTGTGTGTCAGGGGCGGGAGATTCATGTGATTGGTTGTTGGTCGAGTTTCAGACACGCCCACCGGTAAGCTTCAACGCACGCCGTTGTGTGGACGGGCCGCTACAGAGCCCCTCCTCCAACACACACGAACGCACACATGACCAATGAGGGCACGAGATAAGTTTGTTATTTTAGCCGGGCCGGCTAAAATGATTGGTCGTGCTTTTTACAGTACTACGGCTTCCACAGATGACATTTTTTTATGGATCTTTTGTCAAAGCACTTCAGATATTCATTGCTATCGGGATGTTAAGAGCATTCCATGGAATATAACAAAAAGTGTATCTCGAGCCGGTTTCTCAAACTTACCTACCCCACCTTTAAGAGTTATGCAGATCTATTAGCCTCGTTCATGTTATACCCACAGTTGGCTGGTTGGTTGATGGCGCTGAGATTGTGTGTCCTTCCTCTAGCAAATGCTTAATTGGAATTAGGTGGTGGTAGCTCTGGGATATTGTATTCACAGCCCCTTTCTTGCTAGAAAATGACTCCCAAGAGCATTGTTTGGGTCTTTCACTCTGTCCCCAGTGGGTGTTCTGGTAAATGGTTTTCTCTTTGCTACTCTGCCATAAAGCTGCGGGAAGCACCCTGGCAACAATTGTTTTATTTACAGTGTCTTAAATCTCAGCAATGGAACCCATATACTTCTCTAGTGTTTCCTTTAGGTAGCTAAACACTGGTGCCCCTTAAACACAAACCATTTTAGGGCTGCATGCCATAGAATGAGTCAAAGCTGTGTGTAAAGGAGTAACTGAACTCTAGAAGATATTCATTTTCTCATTTCTAATAACACTTAAAAAAACAATGAATGTATTTGGGCTCGATTTGATGATGTGTAGAGTTTTTGTTATCCATTTTTAACATTTGACCTAGTTTATATCAGTCTGTAAATGTAAAAGATTTGTGGATATGCCTTAAAGACTAGCACACAAAATGTCCACGATGAAGCATATCCTTATAAAAAATGAATCTTGATGATATGTGCATATGCTTAAGAAGTGGTGATGCAGCTCTCGGTGTCTAACCTTCTATCTCGTCTTTCTGCAGGTGGACTATGGTGCCACGGCAGAAGAGCTCGAGGCTCACTTTCATGGCTGCGGTTCAGTAAACAGAGTCACCATCCTATGTGACAAATACACAGGGCATCCCAAAGGGTAACACGCCATCATAATACTGTCTCTCATAATGCAGTGTTTGAATCAGTGGAGGGGTGGATCCCAAGTTGTATATCAAATACACCAAAGTCACGCTGTTGGCAGAGGGGGAAAAAAATCTGCTCTGGGTAGACAGCTTTTTTTCCTTCTCATTAAGCATCTATACAAATCATGAAGTTTCAATAAAGCTGGATGGTTGAATGTGATTGCTTTTGTTAAAAAAAAGCCAGGGCTCAACAGTAATGTTTCGCTGGGACCAGATTTGAACAACTGACAGCATTTTGTGAGTGGCGCTTTCACTTTTACTTTACATTTTTTTTTTTTAGCAGATAACACAAATCTGGTATCCGTTGCTGACATCATACATTTTTCATTAAACTGTTTGCATTAGATCACCAGAGATTGCTTTATTCAGAGTATAATATACCTTTAACAATTCAGATATTTGTGATAACCTTGAAAAACAAGCGTTAATTCTATCAAGTCTCTTAGTATTATTTTTAAATAACAGTCATGCAATTTTCATGACAAATCAATTAGTTACTGGACGGATTACTAAAAGTGAGTTTCTTAACAAAGAATCACACAAAAGCACCACTTCAACATTTGTGTTTGGGCCGCAGAGTCCTTTTCACATGTTCAATGGGAGGACGTTTTGGGTGTCTGGAAGTAGAGATAAAGGCCTCAGAGATGTTCCGACTCCAATGACATGAATTAGAAATGGTCCAATGGGTACGGACACTGTTCCTCCCACACGCAGTGATTATTCAAGAATCTAGGTTAGCAAATAAAGCTGATGGGAACGTTTTTGTTATAACCATCCACACATACATGCTGTACCAAGTCTTTGTGTTTTAATAAACATAGATTCAAGTGAAGACAACTGAGATCCCATTTATTCTACTATTTATTAAAGATGAAGCAAATCAAGTTTTCCACATCCAGTTGATTAATATTTGTGTTTTCTTCAGGTTTGCCTATATTGAGTTTTCAGACAAAGAGTCTGTTAGGACAGCCATGGCTTTGGACGAGTCCCTTTTTAGAGGAAGGCAGATAAAGGTAAGATTCGCTCATTGAGATTGCAGCAGTTTAAGGTTGTAATGACAAGTGTGAACGCTGTGAAAGGGAAACAAGACATTCACGGTTACTTTCATTTTCTCTTAAATGAGCCTAAGCATGTTTATCCCTTGTGTTCTAAAAACTGTAACTTTTTCACTTCACTTCTTGTGAATTGTTGAACTCAATATATTGTAGCCGAAGTAACATATTTGACCTATATTGACAGTGAGTGGAATGGCTTTATATGCCTTTGCCAAAGCGGCACATGATTGGAATACAAACACCAGAAACCTTAATATATCTTGTATTTCCAAGTCGGAAAAAAGACAGTTGAGATAAACCTAATCTCTCAATAATGATCAGGAATTTTTAAGCAGCGTTCCTAAAATCTGTTTTTTATAAGGTCACATTCATTGTTGTAACTCTTCCTGAATCCCCGCTCCTCAGGTGGGCGCTAAGAGAACAAACAGACCCGGCATCAGCACCACAGACCGCGGCTTTCCACGGGCTCGGTTCCGGTCACGTGGAGGCGGCGGTGGCGGAGGAGGAGGTGGAGGCGGCGGAGGAGGAAGCTTCTCGTCGAGGGCGCGCTATTACAGTGGATACACACCACCCAGAGGCAGAGGCCGGGCCTTCAGGTGAGCTCACGCCGAGACGCCTCTCTTCTGAGACCCTGGGAGAACACTACATGCACTGCACCTCACTCACTGTTGGCTTCTCTAAGGACAGGACGAACGAGGCAGATTATCATGACCAGCCAGGAGGGCAAAATGATTTACATAGACCTGTAGATATTTATTATTTATTTGTTCTACAGACAGAACAGATTAAACTAAGATAAGGCTGCTATTCTACAGCTACTTCTCCTTTAATGGTTCAAAAGTATTCTGCTTGTATTTAAAAACAATAACACGATGAGGAAGTATATAATGTTACAATTATAAAATATTTTATTAGTTCGCCATTGTTTGTAGTGTCCGCAAACTGGAACCTAAATCAAATTCAATCCTGTCTTCAACTTTATAGTGGCATATACAGGACTGACTCAGAAAATTAGAATATTGTGATAAAGTTCTTTATTTTCTGTAATGCAATTTAAAAAAAAAAAAGAAAAATGTCATACATTCTGGATTCATTCAAATCAACTGAAATATTGC